CTGTCGCCGCCGTCGTCTCGCGTACCTTTTTGCGGATGTGCTCGTGCTCCTCGCCCGGCATGTTGCCCGCGCTCCGCAGCAGCGTCCTGGCGATCAGGCAGTAATAGACAGAGGTGACACACAGCGGGATCAGGTAGAAGACCAGGAAGCAGAGCAGCGAGTGCGCCTCCTGCAGAGGCCTCTCCGACAGGGGGTACGGCGCGCAGGTCTCGAAGGTCTCGTTGCTTCCCGGCACGGAGAAGGAGTAGAGATCGGAGAAAACGGCCTCGGGCACGGCGAGCAGCATGGAGACCCCCCAGATACAGGCGGCCTTGGCACACGTTCTCGTCACGGCGTTGGAGCACTGCAGGTCCATGGGCCTGACAATCGCCCGGTATCTGCGACACACGGGGAGAAGGCAGCGACGGAGAACACAGAGCAGAGTGGCAGAGTGTGATTTCACAAGGGAAAAAGAAACTTCAATCGTTCAATATTCCTGTCAGTATATGAGGATATACAGTACCATCCATTCCGGATCAAATATATTCTGAAGTCCAGTTTCCCCAGACGAGCTTCCTCCTGGAAAATCTCACCCCGACGCTTCTGCACAGACCTCTCTGGCTCACTCTGAGCCGTCCCGAAGGTCTGGGATTCAGAGCGTCACCGAGGTGTATGTGTGCAATGGACTGTTCTACTGATTCGGTACAGCAGATGCCAGTGGAGGGGAAAGGAGAGACGAACCTCTGAGTCTGAGGGCATTGCCCTTGAGCAGTGAGGACTTTCCAGGGAAATGACTGCCATCAGATCTGCAGATATGCAGGTAAAGTAAAAAATGCGTTTAAGGTGCTGCACAGTAAATATGACGAAGGGGTCCAGTACTTCTGACGAGGATGAACTGGGTGGGTCTGGTGGCTTGAGCATATTGCTAATACAACCACGGTCAGGTATTTGATCCCTCCAATGTCAGGGTACAGAACCTGGCTTCTTTTATTGCTACTGGGAAACGTGGCTATGGTGCCCCTCTCTCTTATACTTTAGGTTAAAGGAATACACGCGTTTCTCTCCATTGCGTTTCTCTGGTGATAATACGAGAAATATGACACTTCTGATATGATCGTTTATAGCCGTAGAGCCGTGTCGGGCTGAAAGGTTATTAAGTGGATGGATGACAGTTTGATCTAACCGACGGGGGTGACGGCTGAGATGAGCGCCAGTTACTGCCTGTCTGCTGGTGTCTGTTATTTCTGTGATTATCGCGGAAGCGGAGAGATGGAAAGGGGCGCCGCTCTGCCTCATTTCGGTGAAGAGGTTGAGCAGAGCGAGGAAGTGTGAAGATGTTTTCTCCGCGAACAAGGGTAGAAAAGTTGAGTAAAGACAGTGCTGTGAATGCAATGAACTACGCTGAGGGGTTCGGACCATTTTTTCTTGTTTGTGTTTTTGTCAGGGCGTTTAAAAGTGTGTAGAATTCTAAGCTAAAACACAACTGGGAATTTTTAGTCTTTACCTTTTTATCTGAGGGATTCAACACATTTTTACTCCTCTTCTTTACACGAAATCCATCAGATGATAATAATAATAATAATAATAATAATAATAATAATAAT